GATCGATTAATTCTTCAAGAGACAGATTAAATATAAACTGCATTTGCGTTACTAAATAAAACGTGTAACAATTCTGACAAAATATATATTTGTCCAAAAATACATTTATATATCGAATATTAAGAAAGGAAGTATGTATTATAATAAAATAATAATATATTCCTCAGTAAAATTACAATATATTATTTTATATAATATATATTAGTTATATATTAAAAGAATAATAACATTAATATATAATAAATAAGAATTAGTATATAATAATATATTAAGAAAGGAAGTATTATAAGATTTTAAATGGAATTGTTTCGAATAGCGGGCACAAAGATTTTCATTCCTGCGAGCCAATTTACGACAAAGATAATATTTGTGAAGATAAAGATAATATTTATATGCGAGATGCGTTGCGTAAGGACATCAGGAATCTGCGTGATTTCCTTCTACGATATATAGATCGAAAGACCGACCGAATCTCTATGGAGGGCCAAATATAATGTCAGTATTACAATATTCTATTAATATAAATATTCTTAATGCGATGCGTCTTTATTATATAGACCTGCCAAACATCTCATCATACAAACCGAAGAAAAAAGCGTCTATACAAAAATAATTTCAATTAATAATTATAATATCAAAAATAATAGTAATATTCATATCATACAAAAATAAGAAGCACCTTTTTCTTGAAAATAACAAAAGATCACATCGTCCTTAGTCATCGCGCGCCGAATCGTTACACCAGAAGCGTGTTATCAAGAAGGTCAGGATTATAACATCGGCGTCTCTGCTCGTGTTCGATACGCATTATGCCGCAAGCCTATTATGCGAACCATACGCAAGAAAAACATCGAATAGGCAGTGGGGATGCCGATAATGTCGGCATGAACCAGTACTACTGTGTGTCGCGAACGTGTATTATAATTCATTACAATGATGAACATTGTTTGCGCTGCACGTGCACGCCTCCAGCGCATTTTTTTACATGCACAGGTTTGTGCGATACGCCCGTGAAGAAAGTATCGATGCGCATGCACACGTACACTCGCATGAATCGCGAATCGTGGCGGATCGGGGCTTGTCGAGAGCCACGTGCTCCGTTTACTACGAGCGCATGTGTCGTGAATGATGCTTCAAACGACCGCTACGAGCGATACTAACCCAGGTTCCACAATAGATTTTTAAACCTTATGCTATAAGGAATGGACGAATCATAATCAATTATTCTCCTCGCATTCGACTGTAGTTGGTCAATTCCTTATGGCTTAAAGCTTAAGACACTTATTGTAGATCCGAACTAAGGATCTGAGCACAAGAATTGTCATAAAGCTTACTTAGGCCCAGTTGCATCGATGTTACTCAAAGTAACGCTAATGCAATCGGGCTTTAGAGACTTAAGTTATAGGTGTAAGTATAGGTATAAGTAAAACACAAGCTTTAGCGTATGACGTACGACTTATCGCCGTTTCATGGAGACATGACAATAAGTTGTATGTCATACGTAAAAGCTTGTGCGTTACTTACGTCTACAATTTAAGTCTAAGTAAGTGTTACAATATTTATGATTACTCAGACTCTAAGGGATTACGACTAAAGCTCTAGATACCAAAATAACGCATAGGTCCTCCATTTTGTGAATTACTAATCATATTCTATACCAATAGGTGTAGTAAAAAGAAATCCATTATTTTTGCATGAAATTGAATGGAAAATAATGGATTTCTTTTTACTACACCTAATATTAAGCGCTTATTGGACTATTAAAATAAATAACTAACATTCAAAATCGCGGTCGAAATAATAGGAAGACTATCAGCATTTCGGCTCAGATCAAAGGAATGCGCTCCTTTGGTATCTAGAGCTTTAATTACGACGAATGTGAAATCGATAAATGCAATCTATCAGATTTTCTGCGCGACGCGCCCTATTCGTAGTTGGGAGGAAGATCCTCAAGTAAGAGATGGACACCACGTTAATCCGTCATATTTTTCGAGACATATTTTTCTACTTACGATATAAATGAGATAAATCATGCATCTATGTCATTCTACTTTAAGCAAGTCCTAATAAATACGTTTGATATTTTTTAGGATCTGCTTAAGATAGGTGGGATAGATTATGTGTATCTCAAATGTCTTAAGCAGATCTTGAAAAATATGGTAGACCAAACGTATGGTGTCCAATCTCTTACTTGAGGATCTGTAGGAAGATCATTTTACGATTCGTCGACAATTGCTCACCATATGACCTCGCATGATACAATACAGTCGGAGAAAGCTGAATTGCTTCTTTCCAACGTATCCGAGTTTATAAAAAATTTGATATCTATTCTTAGGAATATGTAGATAAATATATAATACGTGTATTGAATTACTAACTTACGTTTGCAAACCGTTACGATAAAAGGAATTCAAATCCAAGAATCTTATTTCTTCATCCGGACATAACAGAAAATGTCAAGTGTTTTATAAAGAGTTATTTCTGGTTTTTGTAAGCTGTAATTATATCTTTTATGAAAGGAACTTTTTAACCCGTCGAAGCTGATGTCAAAATCTGCAACATAGTTATTGACTCTGTAAGACTCATTTAATTTATGTAGATCAAAAGGCACTAATTAATTTTAAGGATCTACAATGACATAATTCATGTAAAAAAACAATGAATATTAAACAATGTATATTTTAATAAACACAATTCAAATTTGCAGATGTAACATAAAGAAAGTTAATTGTGTAACATTAAAAAAAAATGTACAATTGAGTGGATCCAATAGATTCGCCGTTAGAGTTCCGGAGAGTTAAAGACAAGAGAAAAACGGATTGCATTTACAACTTATATCATTAGTAATTTTCTCAAAATTAAACTTAAGTTTGACGGACGCGCTAAAAATAAGCGGGCCGACGTGTATATTTAGCGGAGATATGTTGACAGCATAACTACGTACGCTAGATAATAATTTCGTAAGTCACGATTGTCAGTCGTGGCAGCAATCAGTCAGTGTGCAAACGTCCGGCGATCGGATGCGAGGAAATCTTGCTGAGACCATTGCTCTCCCTCTCGGTGCCTCATTACCCGCGGACGTACCCCGACTTTATCGCGCGGTTTTCTATTTCTATTGTCTACGTG